TCTATAGAATAGGTGGGCAAACTCGCTATTAAAAAATTAATGATTACTAATCATTAGTGAAGCTTATTTCTTATATTGCCCACCTATTCTATAGAATATCCACAATGTTTATTGGATAATCTATTTTATTCGAATTGGTGATTTTGGCCGATCAAAATTAAATTTTACCAGCTTAGCCGATTTTAAAATTGCCAATTAATTCGGACTTTTGGCCTCAACCTTGCTCCTATTATAGGTTCATTCATTTTCCACCTCGAATGCTACAATCCTAGTAATAACATCGATCAGCCGAATTTAAAAACATCGACCGGCTAAGCCGATAATTTGCTTTTAGCCGATTTTTTCACTATCGGCCAAGATCACTAATTCGAATTGTAAATATCCGCCCATATGTAATCCCCAGTTTTGATTGGCTAGGATTATTCGCACCAATTTACATGGCACCTTCTGTTTAAAATGTGAAATCTCAGTTAGGGTCGGGTTAGGGTTAGGGTGGGTGGAATTATACCAAAGTTTTGCAAGGAATTTTTTTTGATAGTGCGCAAACGATTGTACGTGTTACACCCGATCTTGCACTCTGATTGGTCAGAATCAAAATTTGTAAATGCGTTAGATGTTACACATGAAGATCTGCAATTTGTGAGAGGAACTGCTGACTCCGCTATCAGGCCAATAATATTCTTCCAACAATCGTGTTGAATTTTTAATACTGTACCTTCTTCTTACAATGGGAAAACGTGGTTCGGTGTTAAGCCAATTTCAAAATTTTGATGCATACGCTAAAACTCTCGACGACTTTCGTGTTAAAACGTATTATGGAGCCGCACGTATGTTAGCTTTCTTTATTTCACTTCACAGAACGTTTGCGTACTATAATCAATGCTATTAAAATTTATTCCAAACAATAGTAACTATTTTAAGCACCGTCATTATCTTAACCTTGCTTTGGTCGGAGTTTAACGAGTATAGGGCAACCGAGATAAAACCCGAATTAGTCGTAGATAAAAGTAGAAAAGAAAAATTAACAATAAATATCAATATAACCTTCCCAAAAGTACCATGCTACCGTAAGTAGTCACATAATTATTATTATATTCGTTTCTTTGATCATATAATTTACTGATATATTCTCACAAATTCAAAAATAATTTCAAGTTTTAAGTGTTGATGTAATGGATGTTGCAGGCGAGACACAAAATGATCTCACTCATGACATTTATAAGACTCGATTAGATGCTGATGGAACCCCCATTCATATTGAGAAAGCCACAGGTATGATTAGAGGTCGACCATACGGTTAAACTATTTGGTCAAAATAATACGAGAGATTCGAATTTTATTTTATATGAATAACTATTAAATAATTTGATATATAAATATATATATTTTAACATAGATATTGGAGATCCCACAAAAGATATAGTAAAGATTGTCAATAGTACAGCACCAGGCGGTGATGCATATTGCGGTAGTTGTTATGGCGGGGTAATTCCAGAAAGTGGATGTTGTAATACATGTGATGAAGTTCGTGAGGCTTATATTAAGAGTGGATGGTCTTTCAACAACCCCGATGAAATTGAACAGGTATTTTATAAATATTGTACATCAAATTAAAAAAGAATATTATCGTGATTATCCCTTAAACTGTTTTTCAGGTAAATTCGCCCGGAAATTTCATCAAATTATATTAGATTGTAGTCTAAATCGTAGTAGATATGAGTGTCGCTAAAAGAAAACCCGAAAATTTAAATATAAGTCATATTTAAACTTTCGGGTTTTCTTTTAACGACACTCATATGTAGTTAAATTGACGGTTTAAGGGATAGTTGTTTTAATTTGACGCACAACATAAATATTTAACTCATAACGAATATTCAATTTATATTATTTATATAATCAAATTTCCTAACTGAACAATTATTTCATTTGTCAGTGTGTTAGAGAAGGCTGGAAAGAAAAAGTAGCTGAACAATCAAAAGAAGGTTGTAATGTGGCTGGTAGTGTCAAAGTAAACAAAGTAGCTGGAAACTTTCATCTTGCACCTGGCAAAAGTTTTGAGCAAAATCATGTTCATGTTCATGATTTACAACCATTTTTAAGTGATGGTGTTCATCATGATTTTACACATGAAATTCATCATTTGAGTTTTGGACCTAAAGTTGATGGTGTGGTGAATCCTTTGGATGGTGTTAGCGGAACTGTCACTACAGGTATTTTCAGGAAATTTTAATAGTTATCTCGCTATACAATAAATTGACAGTTACTGTCTTTTAGGGCATTACATGTTTCAGTATTTTCTCAAAGTGGTGTCTACACATTTCTATTTTCTTAATAATACCGCTATTTACACAAATCAATATTCTGTGACACAATTTGAACGTGATTTAACTGGTAGAGACCACGCTCATTCACATAATCACATAGGCGGTTTACCAGGTAAGTATTGATTAACAAAATATAAATAAAATAATTCAAATAAATAACGTTTGTTTACTTTATAGGTGTATTCTTTAATTATGAAATTTCTCCAATGTTGATTATTAATCGTGAAGAAAGTAAAAGTTTTACACATTTTTTAACAGGTGTATGTGCTATAATTGGGGGGATTTTTACAGTAGCTGGAATATTAGATGGTTTTATATATAACGCTGAAAAAACTTTCAAGAAAAAGGTTGAGTTGGGTAAACATTTATAAAAACAAAAAGAACTCTATCTTTTCATTATATTTTATAATATCTTAAATATATACCAACACAATATTTTATAGAACTTTAATTACTAAAATACCGTACGCCATTGACCCCTGTTATAATTAGAAAATTTAAAAAGATTTGTGTATTATTATAGATACATACATACTTATATTCGAAATCTTTATTAAACCAATATTTAAACATGTAATGTATCCCCTAATTTAGCAATTAGATGATTTCTTGTATAGTACTCTGGGTACTATAGTCAGTGGCTACGATAATAGAAACACCAATATCCATTTTATTTGGAATTAAAAAAAAAAAATTCTATAATAGTTTTAGACTACCACATAATTTCGCATATTTAACTTAAGCGTTTAGATTCACTTGACATTCGTCGTTTTACTAATATCATCTGGACGCTTAATAAATATTAATTTCGTGTCCAAAATACTGCTATAGTTAATTATCCAAGGGTAAGGATGCTAAGAATTAATGTGATTATAAAAATCAAAATGCCGTACGGAGCACCTCGGACACAATATATTCTTGAGAATGTTGCCGATTTTCATATAAAAAAATTTTACGAAAGTACATCCCAGGTATTTTACAGCATAAATTCTATGCCAGGTTTGGTCGATCATTGGCCTAGGTTAAGCTAATTTTGAGGTTAACACTAAGTTGGCCTTAAGGGTAGAGTATGACCGGGGTAAAATCGCCACCCAAAAAAGTTTCGAACATCACGTGACAAATATGTAAAACACCAAAAATTCATGTAG